TGATGGGCGGGCAACCAGTCTATGCTTAAATTTAGGACAGTCTGCTACCTTCTGGCTAATTTATTTAGTTAATTCGTTTATATTTCACCATTCCTCGGGAAGGAGCCTTGTTTTTTGTTTTCTTTTAGAAAAGCATTCAAGCACTGAGGTAGATGGGCCAACAGCCTGGCTTTGTATAATGCAGCTCCCATTGTTCCTAATATAGTAAATAATTAAAGGGATTGCTCTGTGGTAGAGTACTTGTTTTGCATGCAGAAGGTCCCATGTCCAGCAACTCCAAGTGGGTCTGGAGACCCCCTATCTGAAGGCCTAGAGAACCATTGTCAGTGTGGATGATGCTGAGCTAGGTGTTCTCAGTATAAGGCATGTTCATATTTAAAATCAACTCTTTGTTCAGAACCATAACGACTAGAGTCAGTGGTAGAACACCTTATTTTCATGTAGAAAGTCTGAGGCTCAATTCCTGGTGGCATCTCCAGGTAGGGCTGGGAAATGACCCATTTTGAAACCCTAGAGAGTGGCTGCCAATCAATGTGGACAATACTTTGCCAGATGGACTATTGATTTGTCTTGGTACAAGGCAAGTTCCTCTGTCAAATACCTATTCTATCCAGCTAAAGACTTTTCAGCTAGCAGGAATAGGAAAGATCTTCCTTCCTTTGTCTTGCTGGCAATACTGCCAGTCAGACAGGAGAATGGTGAGCAAGATGGCCCAATGGTCTGATCCAGTTCTAGAGCATATTCTTAGGTGCAGAGCTGCTAGACTGGAGACCCAGAGATGGCTGTACCATCACGCTTATATAGCTGCCAAAGCAAGTCTTGATGCAGTAAAAAGTAAACACATGAAAATGGGGCATGCCTCCTCCTTCTTGCTGTTGGATTTTAAAAAATAACAGGTGCAATTTGCAAGGGCTGTCCTCCAGCCTCCTTAGAAACAGACACTTGGCTCATCCCAAGGACTGCAAGCTTGGTTTCCAGTTGTATACCATTGATTTGCATCCTTGGCTAATCCCATTCAGCTTTTATAACATTTGTTGGCAAGCAACTTCCCATTGCAGATAATTCCCTGTCAGCCCATCAAGAACACACAGGGTGATTACTGTAAAATTAATGGTTTGGAGCTCAGTAAGAGCCTTTTTATTGAGTTCTTGCTTGACAGGCAGAGAATGCAGCACTGCCCGTGAAAGGGTGCAAAGTCCCCTCTCCATTATGTACACTGTGGAGGACAAAATTTGCATGGCTTCCAGGGTTTATGCCAGGACCTATAGCACCATTCAACATGCAAGAGGTGGCATTCATAGGGATGGAAGATAATTTATGTTCAGTTTGCATTTTGGTGCAAATTTACCTACTACGCAGCTCCTAAGGCATCATGGGAAACCAACATATTTTGAAATTCACAGGTCTCTGAATTTTGTAATGCAGTTCTCCAACCAAATGATGTGTACCAAATGAACAAACAGACAGACAGACAGACAAACAAACAAACAAACAAACAATGCATATGCTAGGGGAAATTGCACCTGAAATACATACTGTATGATTTGGTGACTGTACTCCATACTCTGGTAATTTCCATACTAGGTTATTGCACTGCAATCTACATGGGGCTGTTCTTGAAGATGACTTGGAATCTTCAGCTGCTCCAAAATGCAGACATGGATTACCAAGATACTCACCCAAGAGCCCTCTTGGTAGTTTCAAATCTCTCAGAAACCAAAGTGGTGGTGGGTGGCCTGTGAGAGGGCAATCTCAGTGGCAGCTTCTACATCATGAAATTCCTCCCACACAGAGGTACACCTGGTACCTTCACTATCCCTTCACTATCCTGTTTTCAGCACATGCTGATGAGCCACCTCTTCAGCTTGGCCTATGACACATGAGAAATATTTTCTTAGGACTCACTATATACTTGCAAAACTGTTTCTAATATTGCGTTTTAAACTGACCTGAATCATCCTTAGAAGCTTCGGGAGGGTAATCTGCAATGGCTGGAGCTTCCGGTGCAGACCCAAATGATCCTTCCCCTCCCACAGAGCACACTGTATAGTAATTCAGTCTCATGGTTACGGAATCATAGACTACAGTGGCCAGGCTATCCTGATTGAGATTCAGCGGCAGTTGTTCCACCACGTCGTTCTGCCCTTATGATTTCCTTCATAAACAACACAGGATCTGGCTGTGTCACAATTAGAGTAGCACAGCATTTAAAATTAAAAATGGTGATATCTTGTTTTCTGCTGCTGCTGGGTTTGCAAATAAACAGAACCCATCCCGAGGACTAATTTACCTTATCTATGCACATGGCTTTCAAAAGGAAGCAGCTATAGCAATTTACCGTAAACCACAAGAGTGAGTGTGCAGTTGCAAGCCTGGTGTTTTGTGTGGCAAGGTCCCAAACCCTCCCGAGATGTTGGAATAAAGACACATGAAACCAGTATTTTAGGTTAATGGGCTAAAAAGGCCACAACTTTATTGGTTACAGAATGTGAGTAGTATTGGCTTAGGCACTGGAAACAAACCCACTATATCGGACTCCTGCCCATCTGCAGGAGTCTTGGAAGGGTTAAGTACCAGAAGGGGGAGCCCTGCTGATGCACATCAACTAGGAACTCCCCCAGGGTCACCGCTAGGGGTCGTGCCATGGCCCTAGCCCCCCATCTGGGGCTTCAGACAGAGACCATGCCCCTCAGATTCCTTTAACAGAATACCCTTGAATTGGTAGGTGATGGCCACTACCCCCCTCCCCTCCAACTGAATACTCCAATGCCTAACTGCCAAACTTTACAAAGTTGTGACGATTTGCTATGAGGTAGGCAAAAAACCAAATGGCTGGTGCCAATTTGCCAAGTGGAAAAAATTCCTACCAGGCCCCTTAATGGCGACCAACCGAGGTCTATAGCAAGGTCAAGAGAAAAAGAGCCAAACCTTAGGGGGGGGGGAGGGAGTGGGAGTGGGAAGCAAAAGGGGGTGAGTCCTTGACCACGGGCAGTTTAAATAGCCCAAGCCATGCCCCCTGACCATCCAGGGATGATGCGGCCGAGGACACTTAATGGCGTGGGGGCTATCTCGCCCTGTGTGTGTGAGTCAGGCTTGCGACCAGCCCGCAACGTCATCTCCCTTGGAACAGGACATGGCTTTACCTTGCTGTGTATCTTGGTGGATATTTCCCCCTCTACCCATGTTGCCAGAGTTGCTCAGCGGTGCAAAGTAATAATACTTTGGCCTTTTCAATATGACCTGTTTATCAGGCATTCCTCCTGGAAACAAGAGGCAGTTGGTCTCTCAGTCTTAACTGATATTCTTAACTGAACAGAAATGAACACACACTGGAGGGGTGATTCCAGAGCAAAACAAGCAAGCTCCACCCAACAGATACCAAGCCCTCTACTATTCAAATTAGGCCCCAGTCTTTTTCTTACAATCCCCTTCTCACTGGGCCTTATTTGAATTAGTCCAGTTTAATTTTGCATGTAAATTCTCAAAACTTTCTTATTTGAACATTCAACAATTTCTGTACAATCTTGTTTGTTCTCAGTACACAGAATTGTATCATCTACCTTGCTTTATACCTTTGTAGGAGATGCAGGTGGCGCTGTGATCTAAACCCCTGGGCCTTTGGGGCTTGCTGATCAGAAGGTCGGCAGTTCAAATCCCCATGACGGGGTGAGCGCCCGTTGCTCTGTCTCAGCTCCTGCCAATCTAGCAGTTCAAAAGCACGCAAGTGCAAGTAGATAAATAGGTACTGCTGTGGTGGGAAGGTAAATGGTGTTTCCGTGCCGTATTTCATATCAAGTTTATCTTTAGTCTCTAGTGCATGCATCAAGGAACTGTAACTTTCCAGCAAACTTGACAGAATTAAAATCACTTTGTCCACTTCTTCAAATTTCCTGCCTATAGTATTTAAATAATCCATCAACTCTGTCACTTGACTTAGATGCTTTTCTAAATCTCCATTTTCTTTCCATTTTAAACAGCTTTCTTCATAAATATGTCTCTCACTCAGAGCATTTCTCTCTTACAACTCTTTCAGACTTTGCCAAACTCTTTGGCAGTCTTAAAATCTCTTATGTGTCACTGCCACTGTCATTCACATACGTTGAAATTTCTGCTGTTGCCTTTCTGTCCTGCTTTTCTCACTTTACTTTTTCTGCCTCTTCTGCTGCTGCAGATTTTTCAGTTGTTTCCCACAAATCTTTTTTCACCAGCTCATTCTCCATTCAAAATTTCCATAAAGGATAGTTACTTGAAGTGAGAACAGGCACAGCAGGTTCTAGGGCTTTCACAGCTTATATACACGTGGCCATAATTTTTTCGTCTTCTCTTTGCCAAACTGGGCCTGTAACCCAATTGTTGTGTAGGTGTGGGGGGATGATTAACAAATTCAGTCCTCCTGGCAAACTGGGAATATCCCCTCACTCAGCCAACTTTAGGATATTCCACCATTCGTCAGCACGGGGTTTTTTTTCTCTTTGAGAAAAATAAGTGGATCATGTAAATGTAAACTAAGCTTTACTAATAAAGAAAACTGTAACAAAATAACATAAGGAGAGAAACTAAATACCGTATTTTTTGCTCTATAGGACGCACCCGACCATAGGACGCACCTTGTTTTAGAGGGGGAGAACAAGGAAAAAAAAATTCTCCCCCTCTCTGCTCAGCACCCCCTCTCTGCTCAGCACCCCTTCCATTTCTCCTGCCGCTTCGCTGAAGGGGTGCTGCACAGAGAGGGGGAGAATTTTTTTTCCTTCTTGTTCTCCCCCTCTAAAACAAGGTGCGTTCTGTGCGTTCAAGGTGCGTTCACCCAAAGCCTCCGGAGCGCAGTGGGAGTTCCTGCCGCACTCTGGAGGCTTCAGGCGGCTACCTTGGAAGCCTGGAGAGCGAGAGGGCTCGCTGCGCACTGACCCCTCCCGCTCTCCAGGCTTCAGTGAAGGCAACTAGAAGCCTCAGGAGCGTGGCGGGAGTTCCCGCTGGGCTCCGGAGGCTTTGGGTTCCTTTCAACCTGCTCTTTGGGGCTGGTGGAGGTTTTGACGAAGAACAGAGGTTTTGACAAATGGACTACCAAAAACGTGTGAGGCAAACGGTGGAAGTCTTTTAAAAATATTTTAATTAAGATAGATAAGGATATGATGAAAATACATAACTGAATAAAAAGATAGATTGGAAATGGCTGTGTATAGTGAATACTTATCTACTTTTAAAATTCTCATTCTTGATCTTATTTTTTCCTTTTCTTTATCTTCTTCTTGTTCTTTTCTTTTATATTTTACCTTTCATTTCTTTTCTTTATTGTGAATATTGTTTTGTAGAGGTGTAAATAATTGTAAATATGAGAAGAGGTAAAATGTTTTCTAATTTTCTATTGGTTACATGTATTTTCCTTTTTTTGTATATTTGTATTTTTTTCTAATTTGTACTCAAGAATAATGATAATAAATAAATAAATAAAGCTCATCACGTGTCCATCTCCTCGTCCCACTTGGCGGCGTCAGGCAACTTCATGTTTTGTCACATGAAATCAAGGAACATGGAGGCCTGCAGTAACCGGCCCAGCCTCTGGAAGTGCTGTGTATGGTAGGAGAGACTCCACAGCTGCTTTGATCCCTTCGTATTGCAAGAGGCTCTCTGGCGTCTCATGCCTGAGGAGGGTTTCCACCACTGCCTGAGCCTCGAGGTAGTTCCGCGAGTTTGTGCTCCACGTGATGGAAAACTTCAACACAGCCTCTGGAAGAAGGGGTTTGGGGAAGACACGTCAGGAAGGAGTGCAAGTTGCAGGCCGCGTGGCCACCTTGAACCAACACACCTCTCTTGCGAAGCGTGGCCAGGTCTGGGCACACATCTGACCTGCGCCTTTCTTCAAGGCAGGGAAGCAGATCCAACACCCCTCCCCACCTAGTAGAAACAATTAATGATGGGAGGGGTGACTGAGTTTATCCCAGACTACATGGCTTGCAGGAATGGGTTTTATAATATTTATAAAAGTACAACAACAACAATAATATGCATTATAATCTTTGCTCTAGGATTACAGAGCTGGTGGAGCTAATTTGAGGCTGTGTACACACCATACATTAAAAGCATTATTGCTTCTCCCCTGTAAGAATCCTGGGAACTGTAGATTACCCTTCTACCGCATAGCTACAATTTGTAGCACCCTTTACAAACTGCAATTCCCAGGATTCTTTGGGAGAAATGTGCTTTTAATGCCTGTTTTTCCTGCAGCAGGCATGCTTAGCTACGCCTCTGGAAGCTCAATCCCACAGAAAGCTGGGACGGCCACCAACTTGGATCCTTTTATGCAGGAAAGGCTATCAATGGCCATTAGGCACGATGGCTATGCTCTACCTCCAGAGTCAGTGGCGGTAACCTTTGTGAATAGTAGTTGCTGGAAGATGCAGGAAGGGAATACAGAATGCTCTTGTTTCCACAGGCCTCTGGTTGGCCACTGTGAGAACAGGGTGCTGGACTAGACAGGCCAATGTGGCCTCATCCAGCAGGCACTTCTTATGTCCTTACATGGTTCAAGGGCAGAGATTGTGAGAAGGTATCTTCCAAAGCAATCCCACCCCACAAATAACTTTGGAGCCTTCTTGCCTCTAGCCTAGCCCTCATCCCTTTTCCTGTTTCCGCTGGAGTCTTCTTTTGCTTGCCACACCTGCGGGCTCTCTTCCAGCCAACGCTGCCAATGACAGATCTTAAAAACTTGGGGTCGGTGAGATTTGGCAATCGCAGCACCTTGCGCCTGCTGGACCTCCTGAGCGGAGCGGGTTGTGTCTTGCTCCTCGTGAAGTAGGGTGAAATGTGAGGAGTGTTGCAAGCCGGTGCAGAGGCAGAAGGTCTGGCCGAGATGGTAGAGCACAGCTTCTCTGTCAGGGGCTTCCTCCTAACCCAGTGGAACACCAGTATCATACGCCTCTTAGATGGGTTGGACATGCTGAAGAAGGTACTGGAGGCCCAAGGACCAGGGTGACTTCAAAGCGGAGGACGCAGCAGGCAGTTCCCTATCAATGGTGCCAAATCCAAGCAAATGTTAGCTCCAGTCCTGTTAAATCGATCCAGCAATTATGAACGTTAAAGAAGGGATTAATTCCTCAGGCAGTATAAAAAGACTTTCTGTGGCTTTTTAATAGATGGGAGCCCCCAACTACTGCCACTGTTGACAGCCTGTTGCCCCTTCACTCTGCTTGAATGGGTTATGTCACAATAGTTCCTTCATCAGGTGTTTGTGAGCATGAAAATGCTGTTGGGAGTTTCAGCAATGAAGGCTCAGGCATAACATACTGTCTGAAAGTCTGAACATTTCCTTTTTTTTATTTAACAAAATTTATATACCACTTTTATAATTTATATACAAATTATTAGGAGAGTACCGTATTTTTCGCACTATAGGACGAACTTTTTCCCCTCCAAAAATGAAGGGGAAATGTGTGTGCGTCCTATGGTGCGAATGCAGGCTTTCACTGAAGCCTGGAGAGCGAGAGGGGTCGGTGCGCACCGACCCTCTCGCTCTCCAGGCTTCAGGAGAGCCCCAGCGCCAGCCCCACAAGGTCGGGGGACAGAGGGAGGCGGAACGCCGCCATCCCGCTGTCTCCCGAAGTGGTTTGGAGGCTGACGGCGGGGAGACCCCGCCGCCGGCCCCGCAAGCTCCGGGTCAGCTGGGAGACGCAGCGCGTCTTCCCGCTGTCCCCGGACCTGATGTGAAGGCGGGCGGCGGGGAGAAGAGCGCTTCTCCCCGCTGCCTGCCCCCAAGCTCCGGGGACAGCAGGGAGACGCTTCGCCTCGTCCCGCGGTCCCCGAACCGGATGTGAGGCGGGCGGCGGGAGAAGAGCGCTTCTCCCGCTGCCTGCCCCCAAGCTCCGGGGACAGCAGGGAGACGCAGCGCGTCTTCCCGCTGTCCCCGGACTTGATATCAAGGCGGGCGGCGGGGAGAAGAGCGCTCTCCCGCTGCCTGCCCCACGCTCCGGGTAAAGCAGGGAGCCGCAGCGCGTGTTCGCGCTGGCCCCGGACCTGATGTGACGGCGGGCGGCGGGGAGAAGAGCGCTTCTCCCCACTGCCTGCCCCCACGCTCCGGGGACAGCAGGGAGATGCAGCGCGTCTTCCCGCTGTCCCCGGACTTGATATCAAGGCGGACGGCGGGGAGAGCAGCGCTTCTCCCCGCTGCCTGCCCCCACGCTCCGGGGACAGCAGGGAGACGCAGCGCGTCTTCCCGCTGTCCCCGGACCTGATGTGAAGGCGGGCGGCGGGGAGAAGAGCGCTTCTCCCCGCTGCCTGCCCCCACGCTCCGGGGACAGCTGGGAGACGCAGCGCGTCTTCCCGCTGTCCCCGGACCTGATGTGAATGCGGGCGGCGGGGAGCCGAGCGCTTCTCCCCGCTGCCTGCCCCCAAGCTCCGGGGACAGCAGGGAGATGCAGCGCGTCTTCCCGCTGTCCCCGGACCTGATGTGAAGGCGGGCGGCGGGGAGAAGAGCGCTTCTCCCCGCTGCCTGCCACAAGCTCCGGGGACAGCAGGGAGACGCAGCGCGTCTTCCCGCTGTCCCCGGACCTGATGTGTAGGCGGGCGGCGGGGAGAAGAGCGCTTCTCCCCGCTGCCGGCCCCCAAGCGCCGGGGAGCGCTGGGAGGCGCAGCGCGGCGTCCCGCTGTCCCCGGACCTGATGTGAAGGCGGGCGGCGGGGAGAAGAGCGCTTCTCCCGCTGCCTGCCCCAAGCTCCGGGGACAGCTGGGAGACGCAGCGCGTCTTCCCGCTGTCCCCGGACCTGATCTGAAGGCGAGCCGCGGGGAGAAGAGCGCTTCTCCCCGCTGCCTGCCCCCAAGCTCCGGGGACAGCAGGGAGACGCAGCGGGTCTCCCCGCTGTCCCCGGACCTGATCTCAAGGCGGGCGGCAGGGAGAAGAGCGCTCTCCCCGCTGCCTGCCCCCAGCTCCGGGGACAGCAGGGAGACGCAGCGCGTCTTCCCGCTGTCCCCGGACCTGATCTGAAGGCGGACTGCGGGGAGAAGAGCGCTTCTCCCCGCTGCCGGCCCCACAAGCGCCTGGGGGGGAAATAATTTTTTTTCCTTTATTTCCCCCCCCAAAAACTTGATGCGTCCTATGGACCGGTGCGTCCTATGGTGCGAAAAATACGGTAAGTTAAAAATATACTGTAATTTATTCACTTATAGGCTAGTTTACATACTTTATTCCTTCTTATACTTCTATCCCACCTTTCCTCCACAGAGCATACACACTTCAGCCTCCACCTTCTCCATTTTATCCTGACAGCAGTATTGTGAGCTAGGGCCATAGCTCAGTGGTAGAACAAGTGTTTAGCATGCAGAAGGCATCAGGTTCAGTCCCCAGCATCTCCTGGTGGGACTGGGAGCGCTCCCTCTGCGCTTCGGAGGCTTCGCGTTGCTATCGCTGAAGCCAAGGAGCCTGCATTCGCTCCATAGGATGCACACACATTTCCCCTTAATTTTGGAGGGGGAAAAGTGCGTCCTATAGAACAAAAAATACGGTACATCACGAGGCAAGAAGCAAGAAAAGGCAGTTGGTCTCTCTTAACTGACATTCTTAACTGAACATAACGGAACCCACTGAAGGGAGGGGCTGATTCCGGAGCAAAACACAGAAGCCCCACCTACCAGATACCAAACATTCTACTATTCAAATTAGGCCCCAGTGTTTTCCTTACAAAGACACACTACAGTTTCCAGTGCATTTTCCTGTCACTATCCTTATTGGGAAAAGCCTGATTGTTCTTGCTTTATGTGTGCTTCAAAAGGCCAGGTTTTCTTTTATATAAAAAGGCATGAAAAATCCATATTTAAATTGTGCACACTTCCTGCTTATGTCCACATTTTCTACTTCTCCTTAAATATGCATTTTGGGGGCATAGTTTTCCCCTATTATATGCGTTTTGATGCGCATTGCTTAGGAACCAAAACTGCATCAGCAAGTTCAAAGTGTGTGTCTGACTGATAGCTGCGTTCTGACATGCATATAAGTCTAAACGCAAAGAATTATGTCAGTTTGCTTTAAATTTGCACTTAAAGAGCCAAAGTGTCAGGAGCAGGGGACGTGGTGGGACCAGTGATGGGAGAATTCCTCCTCTTCAATTCCACTCCATTCACGCATTGTACACAGGTGTGTAGTTGTCCAAGGTTGAAGACCCATTACTATTTTTGCAGAAGGGTCACAGCAGGGCCCCTGTCACCAGAGTCCCCTCCGCAATTGTTTCTATTAATTTTCCAAATTATTGCGAATCAAACAAAATTACTTTAACACAATTTCTTAAAATCAGGTTTCCCGCTCCTGTTTCAAACATACGCCAATCATTTCCTCCCTTAGCTGCATCATTTCTTATTTAGTGTCCAGTTGTCATCCTTTACTTGCATCCTGTCACCAGAGTCGTACAGCTGCCTAACTAACATGAACGGGGTTTTTTGTTTTGCCACTGAGAAGTCTTCTCCCTCTTTGTGCTGACTGGAGCCAGCCAGAATGAAAGGAAGTGAGTGAGCCAATGAGGATTGGTTGCAAGGGTCAGTTTGGAGAAAGCACATAGGAAGAACAGAGAGGAGTTGCTCCATATGCTTCACTGCTGAACATTTAGGAGCACTGAAAACACAAGGTGCTTCAGTTTCATGAGAACAATGTGCAAGTTCTGTTACATACAATGGAACTTAAAGGAAAACAACTTAATCTACTCTGAAATAAGATATTGGAGCACTCCAAATCATTTCCCCCCCCATGTACATCCACAGAAAATAGTAGATCGAGCTGAAAGGCAACACATGGAGAACTGCACTGATTGTTGTAATGCCCCTTTAATTATTATTAAAGCACATGGATAAGACTATTCTGTAATCTTAGAATGGTGTGTTGCTGTGGCAGTGTGTGTAGGTATGAGTGGGGCATCGCTGTGACTATCATGATGGAACCCTGCACTTCTGAATTTGTCACAACACTAGTAATTGTACTTTGGGTTCCTTTGTACCAGCATTATCATGTCTATTGAGTTTTAGGCTATTAAAGTGTGATCTGTCTTGAATTCATAGGATTATATACTGATTGTATATTGAAATCCAGGTGAGCTGCTGCCAATCAGTGTAGACAATAATAAGCTAGATAGGCCAAAGATCTTAGTGTAAGGCAACTTTCTATACTCCTAGATTTAAATGAGAGAAAATGGGTAGTAAATAAAACACAGATGGCAAGATATCTAGATTTCCACAAAGGGGTGAGTAGATGAGGCATTGATCAACTGCAGTGTAAAATTCAGGATTACAAACAAAGATATGCTTTCATAAAAATTTTATTTTCCTTTTTTTTTAATAATTCAATGTGCTGGCAGTATAATTAATCCCTCTATGAGAGACATGAATGTACCAGTTCAACCAATATTATATTATACAGAGACAATTGCATTTAAAAACAACAAACAACATTGAAAATGTTTGTACAGAAAGTATTACTTTTTAGAAAGAAAGAAGAGAAATGTAAACAGAAGTGGATAATCTGTGCAACACATTGGTAATGCAAAGGAAACAAGCAGGAAACTCCCCCCCCCCTTTACATAGAAAGAAAAAGAAAAGTAGCTTCAGAACTATACAACATTTCAGCAATTGCCAGACATGTTAACAGTTATTGTTTTTTATCTGTACGAAAACATCTTAACTTATACTTAAAACTTTACAGGGATAACATGCTTGTTCTGAACAAAGACACATTGTGGAATTTCAGAGATTATGGAGCAGGTGGTTTCTACACGTAAAAGGCGTCTATTTTGTATGAAATGCATGCTAGAGGAGGAGAGACCACTCTCTCCTCCCTGCTCTGCCCAAGTCAATTATCATTTAATTTCAGTGGGTAGATAGCTAAATGTGGAAAATAAATATGACTTTGGTTAGCTGGAGGACCAAGAGGTCTTCGTGTTGCTATTTCTCTATCCAGTAACTAGAACACAGCATACACAATTAATCCAGATGACAACTGGAGTTACGTTTACATATATATATATATGCACACAAAATGAATATTCAAGCCTGTTTTCTGTTTGGCACTTTAGAAGCACAGGTGCAAAAATCTCACTATTAGCCAGACAAATCCCAACACCTCTAGAGGAAAGACAGAACAGCTCCAAAGAGGAAAGTTCTCTTTTGTCTGCCTTAACTGCTTTTCCTGTGACTTTATATATAAAACATACAATGGGATTCCTACCTTGCTGTGATTCAGACTGAACTGATCTCTCCCTCCAAGCCTGCCAAAGGTGAAACACATCCCACACTGCATAAATTGGCTTTCTGTTGATTTCAACTTGAGCCAGGTCTGATGAATGTGGTATAGTCCTCTGATCTGATTATACCTCCTCAGAACTCCTGAGAAGGTTGGAAGCTAATGGGAAGAAAATGTGTAGGACATGATTTTGTGTGGGAATGCATTCAAATGAGCCACCCCAAAGTGAAATATGAGATTTTAAGATGTTCCTTCAAGTACATATGAATGTGTGTGTGTAACTCCAATCCTTGCCTTCATGCATTCAAGGATTCTGGGTGTGGATGACCAGGGAGGGAGGTCAGCAGGTACAACCTTGATATCCCTCCCCACAGTCCCATTGGCACCTGAACAGGACTATGCTGGCAAGAGAGGAATATACCATGTCAATAACAGTATTGGCTCTAAGTTCTCTACATAAACAGGTCCTCATATACTAAAACCAGATTGCATTGCTACAGTTTGCCTTGCTACATGTAAATAAACAGATGGCAGAGGGATGGGTTTTAATTTAACTTTCTTTCATGCACATCTTTTGTACGGTGAATTTCACCGTGCCCCAACCATGGTATTCAGTCACTTAATGAATCCCACTCTCTCACCTGCAGTCTGAGTGGCACAGTCTAGTAACCATTTCACCATAGGATGAACAAATTTGCTGAGAGAGCTTCTAGCTAAATAGGAATGAGAAATGCCAGAAATCAGAACCTGCTTCTTCAGTTATTTAAAGCCTTCTAAAAACTGGTGGGCTTTGAAAACACACCTCCCACTTCACATGGAGGATGGAACAAGCTTGTTTTTTTCCTGCTCTGGAGGATAGGACTGAAAGCAATAGATTCAAGTTACAAGAAAAGAGATCTTGACTAAGCATCAGGAAGAACTTTTTGACTGGAAGAGCTGTCATAGAATCATAGAGCTGTAGAGCTGGAAGGGACCACGAGGATCATCTAGTCCAGGCATAGGCAAACCCGGCCCCCCAGATGTTTTGGGACTACAACTCCCATCATCCCTAGCTAACGGGACCAGTGGTCAGGGATGGTGGGAGCTGTAGTCCCAAAACATCTGCAGGGCCGAGTTTGCCTATGCCTGAATTCTAGTCCAACCTCCTACTGTGTCTCGCTCCTCCCCAGAACAAAAAGAGGTATGAAGAGGGCAGAACAAAAAGAGACAAGGTGTTGGACTCTCAGATTACTCGGGAAGGACTTTGGGGAAGGAGGAGGCTTAGGAAGCTGTGGGAAGGTAGGGACCTTCAGTCATCACAACAGTCTTGTTAGGACAAACTCTACTGGGAAGATTTTCTATGCTCACTAGGCCTGACCTCCTGAGCTCTTTCTTTCTTTGAATAAAGAGTTCACTGATGCTGTGTGAGTTATTACTGACCTGCTCCTGGCACCTGCCCCTGACATAATCACATGAGAATCTCTGAAGCACTGAGAAGCTGGCCACTTCACCCAGTACAATAAATCCACAGGTAAAGAAATCAATGGGTTTAAAATACAAGAGAAATGAACTGAGTTTTCTTAATTGGAACCCAATAGTTTGGTTTGTTGACCAACCCCTTTCTACAAATCTTCGAAAGCCTGGAGATATTTGTATTATGGAATAATTTATATTCCATTTGGTCATCTGCCTTGCCTGGCACCGTTGCCCTCTTTGCTTCGTGAATGCCAATAACAGGGCACTAAATTGCAAGGCCTGCAGAACAAATCAGAGGCTGTTGCATCTAGATTCCTCCCCCAACAAGTCTCAAGCAAATGAATGAAGATTGTGCAGAAGTCATACTGGATGAATCCAATGTGGACTCCAGGAAGAGCATGGCTGGTAGTCTCAGCACACTTGCTTGGAAGCATGTCCCTTTGAAATCAGTGGAATTTTAAATCTAAGTAAATGTGTTAAGACTGGGAACAACTTTCACCAGCGGAAAGCCTCCAGCCTATCCCCATGATTCAGTGTGATAGTTTATTGGGGACTCGGTGGTGCTCATGCCTGAACATTTTTGTTCAGCGCCCACATGATGTAGTATCCATTAAAATGTCATCCTGTATTATTTTCTCATTTAATCTAGGCTTAGCATTACTGCAAAAGATCAAATAACTAAACAAATGAACAATACAGGAAGACTAAATCCAGAGGCAGTGGGAAGTGGTGCAACAGGCAAAGCACTAATTCCCACAGTAAACTGTCATGTGGAAGCAACTGCTGTTTGTCTTCATGGTGAGTTCACACATGCACACTCAGCCATTTTGTGGATCACAAACTCAAGTGTTGGCCTGTAAAATAGAGACAAAATTGAAGCA